GCGCGGTGGCCAGCCGATCACTTGGAGAAACTGCAATCGACAGGGTCTCAACGACCTGGTGGCGACGGCGGCTGCATCTTCAAAACAGTGGTCGGCGTTACAAAGAAACCTCTCGCTCGTCCTCGCCCTCTGCCTTTGTTTCTGCCATGCGGCCCTGGACATCACATCGGCCTCCCCTCCCGCGGTGCCCTGGACCAGGCTGGGCAGACTGCGGCGGGGGCGCCGGTGGACTAAGGGCATCCGCCACCATGCGAAAAGGGCCGAGAGGTTGCTGTAAGGAATGCGGGGGCAAGGCGGCGCATGCAAGCATCGCGGTGGGGTGCGTGGGGCCTGTTACAAGATATGCGCACGCGCGCCCAAAACAAACACGGCCCTGCCCCTGACAATGATGAACGAACCATGGAACCGCATCAGGGGCTTCACACATGTTGGCATGTGTACGTGGTTTCTATTATCTTCGCCCGAACTCAATATGCACTGAAAACCAGTTTTCTTCAGACGTATGGTTTTCACCTATTTGGGCCGTACGAAGCACGGAAGGGACCTAGGAAAGTATGGGCTATACTAACATTAGGCAAAATACCGAAACAAATCAACCAGCCTCTGTCGATTATCCTCGCTTCTCGTTCCTCCGAGGCGCGGCGAGCTATGTAGCCCCTCCCCCCCCCTCTGCCAGCCCCCAGGAAAGGGGGGGGGGGGGGGCAGGAGAGAGGGGGGGGGAGAGGTGGGGGGCGGACAGAAGAGAGGGGGGGGGGGACAGGAGAGAGGGGGGGGGGGGCGAAGGGGGGGGGAAGAAGAAAGGGGGGGGGACATGAGAGATGGGGGGGGGGGCAGGAGAGAGGGGGGGGGACAGGAAAGAGGGGGGGGGAGAGGGGGGGGGCAAGCTAGGTGCGCTCGCGTCATATCTGACGTCCTACCCCTCCCTCCCATCCCTTACCATGGCGCTGATTTTCTCTATCCGCGGACGCGTGTCGTAGCGGACCTGTGGCTCCGCGCGCGCGTGCGTAGTGGGTGGTGGTGCGCGTGCGTGCGTGCGTGCGTGTGTGTGTGGTGGTTGTGGTGGTGGTGGTGGTGGTGGTGGTGGTGGTGGTGCTGGTGGTGGTGGTGGGTGGTGGTGGTGGTGGTGGTGGTGGTGGTGGTGGTGGTGGTGCGGCGCGGTGGTGGCGGGCGGATGGGCGCGCGAGAAAGAGGCCCGCGCTGGGGCGAGAACGCCATCCTGAACGACGGAGGCCAAACACCGATCCGAAAATGAGGCCCACGCTGCAGCGGGAGCACGATTCGGAACGATTCGGGAGCAGAAATGAGGCCGGCGCCTCAGCGAGAGCAGCATTTTGAACAAAAAACAAAAAACGCAGGCGAAAACCCAACTCACGGGAATCCTGTGTAAAAAACAATACGCGGGGGGGGGTCGGCCACTCCCAGCACGCCATCAGGGGAAGAGGGAGAGTAGTATTCATATTGAGTAATTGTGCAGGAGAAACGAGGAGGGGGGGGGGCAGGAGAGAGAGGGGGGGCAGGAGAGAGGGGGGGGGACAGGAGAGAGGAGGGGGGGAGAGGGAGGGGTGGACAGGAGAGAGGGTGGGGGACAGGAGAGGGGGGGAGGGGGGGGAAAGGAGAGAGGGGGGGGAGAGAAGAGAGGGGGGGACAGGAGAGAGAGGTCATCATCATCATCATCATCATCATCATCATCATCATCATCATCATCATCATCATCATCATCTCATCATCATCATCATCATCACCATCACCATCACCATCACCATCACCATCACCACCACCAGCATCATCATCATGATCATCATCATCATCATCACCATCACCATCACCATCACCATCAGCATCACCATCATCAGCATCAGCATCAGCATCGGCATCATCATCATCACCATCATCAGCACCATCACCATCATCACCATTGTCAGCATCATCATCATCATCATCATCATCATCATCTCCATCACCATCACCATCGTCACATCACCATCAGCATCAGCATCAGCATCAGCATCATCATCATCGTCGTCATTGTCATCGTCATCGTCATCGTCATTATCATCATCATCATCACCACCATCACCATCACCAGCATCATCATCATCATCATCATCACCATCACCATCACCATCAGCATCACCATCATCAGCATCAGCATCAGCATCAGCATCATCATCATCAGCACCATCACCATCATCACCATTGTCAGCATCATCATCATCATCATCATCATCATCATCATCACCATCACCATCGTCACATCACCATCAGCATCAGCATCAGCATCAGCATCATCATCATCATCGTCGTCATTGTCATCGTCATCGTCATCGTCATTATCAGCATCAGCATCAGCATCATCATCATAATCATTATTATCATTATCATTAGTATCAGCATCATCATCATCATCATCATCATCATCATCATCATCATCATCATCATCATCATCATCATCCGGAGCGCCCCGGATGCGCGGAACTGGCCGAAGGCCACTACAATACAC